AGTAATTTGCCACCTCTTTCTCCTTTGCCTCACGGAGCTAATTCCATTCCATGTATCCATTATACGGGCATGCAAACAAGACTCGAGACACTAGTCTCAGGGCAATAGAACAAATAGAATAATTGATTTGTGCAAGAGAACAATCCATTTATGGGGTGCCTCATTCATCTTTAAGAGCAATACAACAATCCAATAATTTCTTTTCTATGATTTGATGTAATGGACTTTTAGCTTTTAGTCGTCATAAGGTTACATGTATCAATGCTTCTTTTTCCTAGTGTTTATGGTCCATGAATGTGGTACCGGTGTATCATCTTCACAGTTTAATGCTTAACCTGTTCCAAAAGCTACATGACATTGTCGGAACCCTTAACGTTGCTGGACCTCCCATATCTTCTTATACTATTGCATAGGCTAGCATGTCAACACAAAATATCAAATTTTTTAGAGTTAAGATTCATTTTATTGATGTAGTTATGGATCACCTAAGTTCTATGGTTTATTTATGTTTAAAATAATCTTTATATTTTTAAAAGCATAATAGATAAGTCTTTTCGTCTAAGTTAACAGATGTTAAAAGTCTATTTACATGACATGTTGACTTGTAATAAATTATTAATATAATGATATAAAAAAATTTATTGTAGCCCATATGGTTTTGATCATAAGTCACTTAAGCTTTTATGGTTTTACTCGGATTTAAAATAATCTTTATATTTTCAAAAGCATATTATATAAGTTTCTCTTATTAAGTCTGAGTTAATAGATATTAGAGTATATTTACGTGGTATGCTGATTCATAATAAATCGTTAATATAATAATATATAATTTAAATTAAAAAATTGAAACTACCATCAATAGCACTGGCCTCTTCCGTGCCAATGACAAGCTCTAGAGTTTTCAATCCTACCTCAGGTGGATATGCGTTCTATTTTATATACGTCAATCTTATCGACACGATGGAAATTAATAAGAGTCATAATTGATTGTTGGACTAAGACTACTGAGTTGTTATTTTGTTATTATTCATTTGATATGAAGTCTCCATTTTGTCCTATGACAGACACTTGTGTCGGCAGATAAACAGAATCATCTGTATTTTATGTTTATGTCCACCACTTACTCCGAGCTTTTGCTCATGCATCTTTGGAATTACACGAGGGCATTCCTCCATCCTTGCATTTGACTGAGAAATATATGTGTTGCTTGGCAGATGCTTGGAATCAAGTACTGTTGTATCATTTTACTAAAATGGTACTTGATATGTATTTGTTCGGGTATATATGTATATGTATGTGTATGTGTATATCTTTATATATATGTAGAGCTCGTGAACACGGCCCCTCTTCCCGCCGGGCGGCTGCTTTGAAGGATCTTGCTGCCAATGTCGTTACCCCGACGTTCCTTTTGTGGTCCGATCGCACTAGAATTAATCAGATTGTCTTTTTTCTTTTGTTCCAACTGCCTGTCATGTTTATTCATCTCTTTGTGCTGTTCAAAATCTTCTCCGAATTGCTGCGGCTCAATTAGTATGCTTGCATGTAGTGTGCGCATCAGTGAATGCGTTCTTGTTCTATTTTTGACTGCAAATGTTTCAGAGTTGAATACGCAACTTACTGGCGGTGACCGACTCGGGTGAAAGAAAAAATAAAATGTTGGATGCTTCGATCTAATTCTCACCGGCCTTATTCGTTGTTCAGAGATTCCGCCGTTCTTTTCTTTCCTGCTCGAAGATCTACGAGTGCATCATGATTGGATCACGGCTTACCTTGAGCATACGTTGATCCAAATATGACGTATCATTTAGAGAGACGGGGGTGAGGTTTACCTATGTTAGGGTGCCATTAATATGGCACATCACACCATGGCTGACGCCGGCCCGACGCTGACACCTCCTCGTTTGCCACTCTTGACTGGTTGTCTTTATTCCGTGGTTTCTCTCCGTGGATCGGTCTAATCTTATCCATGGACATGACAATACGAAACCAAGAAGCGAGTTTGAACAGCGCCCTCATGCGTTTCCATCAGTTCCATCCAGTGCTCTTCCACTTCCATGGTTCGTGGGGGTTGCTTTAGTCGTCACCCTATGAATTCAACCTTCTTCTTCTTCTTCTTCTTTTTTCCCTTCTACTTGCTTCTCTCTCTCCTACTTCCACCTCACGTTACTTGCTTGGATTCTAATGTTTGGAGCCCGATACCGAAGCCAAGCCGATCTTTCTTTGTTGTTCAAGGCATTCCGGGTCAAACGCTTCCCACACCACTCCACTCCACTCTCTCTTGCTTCCAAGGAAGAGATGCCGGATCTCCTTTGCCATAAATTTCATCCTTCCTCGACCAACTCGGCTTCAAACATGGTATCTTATAAAGGATATATGTTGAATCGGAGCAGAGTGGGCGGACGTCCGTGGTTGGTGGAACCTCACTAGAGAACCAGAAGGCCGCTTTCTTTTGAGCGATCGAGTGCCCTTCTTTAGATGGGATGGGATGGAATCGAAAGAAACGTGTGGGAGCGTGGATCGGCTTCTTGTGTCAACACCAGATCTCCCCAAAATAGGAAGGTGGGATGCGTCGCACTCTCCCCCACTCAAAACATGAGATCAGTGCTACCCCCCGCCGTTGTGGCCCCCACACGAGGAGCATGCCTTGCGTTGTAGCACGCGACCCCTGTTCAAAGCGTTGAATTCTGATCGCGTTCGCCCACGGTCAAAGTTGGAAGAGTGCTCTTCGCTTTTACCGATGGGAATAGCCAACAACATCTCTTTCCATACGCCTCCGATGCTTGTCCCGGTGGAAGCCTCTCTGCGGTTGCTGTTCCTCTCTACCCTTCCTTCACCTCATCCAGAAGACCTGAACGGGTCAAAGGAGCTTCTCAATTCTTGGTCCTTCCTTTACAGAGCCACGTGACAAGCCGATATATGAACAGGAGCCACATAGCCTGGTTCACTTTGACCCTGTCCCGCGTGGCAGGAAGAACCCGTCAGAGCAGGGAAAGAAAGCGAAGCCACTGCCCTCATGTCGCTCCAAGCTCCCGCCCCACACCTCCTCCTCTTTTCAGCACGTGGTTGGTGATCGAGCTTGTGCGCGATAAGGAGCACCGTGATGTTTTCTTTGTCTTGCCCGTGGTCCATCAGCAACAATTCTACATAAACGACACCGGGGACGTCGTGAGCTCCGGACCCCATGCATGTCCCGCCGCCCAACTCACCATCGCCTTCGTTGCAATCCCAGTGCCATAATATGTGTCATCGCACACCCTTTTTTCAGCATTCTTATTTTTTACAAAAAGAAACTAAAAAAAAAAAGGGAAAGAAAGACATTTAAGACGGTGCCTTAGCGTTATCCCTTCGTATTGGACACCTGCGGTTTTCGACTCCGACCATTCCTACCTACGAGAGGGCCGATTCGGAAAGCAACACAGGTTCATCATTTGGTGGACGCTGCGCTGAGGTGCAACGGATACGCCCTCGAAGCTTACTTAGGGTTGTCGTGTGTGTGCGCGTGGAAAAAGACGATCTCGGAGTTGCGGCCGTCAAAGCGTCAACCGTTGTTGGGGCCGTCAAAAAATATTACTTGTTGAACTACATAGATTGACGCATGTGTGGAGTCGAAGACTCGGTCGGCTTCGAGAAACCAGTCAAAATGCGGTGGTTCGATTGGTCCGTAATGGCGCCGCAATCGCACCCACAACTGTTTGCGCCGGTCGGTATTGGACGAGGAGGGTGCTGTATGAATAATGCATCACTTTGTCCATCTGGTCGTTACGATGCCATCGCCGTTTTTACTAAATTGCGGCTGAGGTTTCACACACAAAAAATACTAATTAATTTGGACAAGATAATGTTTTTAAAAAATGATGTCGATTTTGTAGTAAATGATACATAAAATGTATTGTTTTTTTTATTTCGAACTTACTAAACATATGAATTTTGTTTTACTGGCAATCAATGAATCAATATTTTTTTTCAAAAAAAATGTATTTATTTCATTACGTTTATTGTTAAAATAATCATTCTCAGGCCCATGCATGCTTTCGTAGAAATCGAATGAAATGAGATATAAATAATTATTTTACCTCCAAAAAGATATTTTTGGTTATGACATCCCTTAAGAAGATGATGATACTAAATTTTTGTTTTAATAATTAATTTTTTTTACCGTTTAAAATAGTCGTGGTGTATAGAAAATCTACGATTTTACTTAAATTCCTATGTTTTTTTTTCTTGAAATTCCTTAGTTGCTTATACATTAGATATAATAAATTCATTTATCTTCTTCTTTACACAATAAATAGTCGAGATCAAGTCGTATCAGCTAATCTAGTTGATAGAAACCTTGATAATAATAATAATAATAATAATAATAATAATAATAATAATAATAAATAATAATAAGAAGTGGCCGTTTGCATAGTAGACAAACCAATATACGCTTACGTCCCAGGTGACGTAAGCTTGGTGGCACATATTGGGTACGTGACCACTAAATGAAGCAGGCGATGCGGTGAAGGGAAAAGGAGGCGATGCAGCCGAATTGATTGGTTGGAAGGTGACAAGTGCAGAATGGAAACGCGTTTTTAGATAAACTAGTGCAAGAGAATGTTAAGAGCTTGCTTTCGAGGCCACTCTTTATGATATGGTGGTGTTTGGAAGTCAAGACGTGACTCTACCGAGAGGAGTCGAGTGCAGCAACACGACAGGACATACAGAAGGAAAAAAGGCAAAAGCGAGTAATGCAGCATTACTAATCGGCTTTAAGCTGCAGAAAGTCCCACTGAAGCAAGATTAGTGGCGGCCTATTATTATAAAGGGAATGAATGCTCCCAACCGGTAAGTGTCCGGTGGCCAAAGAGCGATCCTCCCATCCACTGTCTAAAGTGGCATTTTTAGTGTCCATCTCTCGAGCTTGCAAGCAGAGAAGAAGAAGAAGAAGAAAGAGGAGGAAATCAACCCGAGCGCTGACTGATATCCGTGAACTCATATTGCCCTTTCGGACGGACACAGATGCAAAACTTAATGTCATGTATATCCTCCATTCATTCATCAGATTACAAAAAACAACAAAAGGAAAAGTTTTGAGGGCAAGAATATAAGATTACAAAGCCTCGTCTCGAAAGAACTGATGAACCCCACTCATCCGGCACAGTCAATGAGATGATCTGTTTCTGAACTAGCAGCACTTGCTCCCTCCACGTCATGTTTCATGCACGGTTTCCCTGCCCTCTCTCGGTCTTCTACGAGAGAAGGTGATCGTCCACTGCCATCGCCGCTGGTGTCTGCAGTAATAGGAATGAGTTGAGGAGGAGGAGGAGGAGGAGCGCTCGAAGCTTTTGTCAATTCCGTAGCTCTCTCCATCTCCGTCATCCAATCCGTTCTGGCCAGTGCGTATGCCATGAGGGCCGCGCATGATGTCTGCGCCGCCAGCAACCCCAACCATAGGCCCGGGAGCCCCATTTTCCCGACGAAACCCAGCAGTACGGCCACGGGCATTCCGACCAAGTAGAAGGAGCTCAGATTGATGTTAGCCCCGGTGCTCGGCCTCGCGCTCCCCCTTAGCACGCCACACCCGGTGGTCTGCGGGCAATTCCCCAGCTCGCACAGCCCCGCAATCGGCAGAGCCACAGACGTGAGCTTCAGAATCTCCGCGTCGGTGGTGAATAGCCTTCCCCACCGATGCCTCATCAAGGTCGTGAATGCCATCGCTGCGAGTCCCAGCCCCACGGCGCACGCCAACGATACCAGAGTCGCCGTCCGGGCCTTGGCGGGACGATTCGCGCCCAACACGTTGCCGACGCGGGTCGACACCCCAAGGCTCAACGCCGACGGGAAGACGTACACCAACGACGTGGTCTGGATCAGTATCCCCATGGAAGCGACAGCTGCCCTGGGGTTGGCGAGCAGGCCACTGAAGAGTATCATGAACTCGTACCACCACCACTCGAGGCACACGGACACGCACGACGGCACGGCGAGCTTCAGCAGCTTCGACCACCCCCGAAGGCAGTCCATGCTCGGGCTCACCCACGAGTCGTTGCACACGCCGGAGCAGAGGACGAAGAGAAGCAAGCAAATCAGGAGATTCAAGTTGGTCCAGACCATCGCCAGGGCCACGCCCGCGATGCCCATTTTGAGATGCACCACCAGGATATAATTCAGCGGCACGTGGAGGACGACGGAGACGAGCGAGCAGTACGTGATCGGAAAAGTGATGTTCTGAGATCTCAGATAGATGCGAAGAGGGTGCAGAAATGACAAGAAGAACAGGTCAGGAATGGCGAATGTGATGAAGACGTGGGCGGCGGAGGAAATCTGCTCGTCCTGACCGCACCACAGGAGGACTCTCTTCATGTTGAGCCACAGGAAGGAGATTGGGAGGGAGGCGGATAGGAGAAGCAGGATGGCCCGTTGCAGAGTGAGAGCAAGGAGCTTGCGTTGCTTCGCGCCGAATGCCTGGCCGCATATGGGCTCCATGCCCATGGCGAGGCCGGAGAGGACGGAGTAGCCCGTGATATTAGCAACCCCGATCGACAGAGAGCCGCCTGCAAGCTCGAGCTCCCCGAGAAAGCCAAGGAAAAGCATCGACACCATGGCGCGCGAGTAAAGAACGAGGCCAGTGAGAGCCGTGGGGATAGATATCTTCCCTATGGCTCTCATTTCCTCCACCACCTGAATCCAATTCAATCAAGCGACGCATATTAATCTCCAGCACCCATATAAAAAAAGCCAAGTAAAGAACAGAGACCTAGCGGCCAAAAGCTTTGGTGTCGCACATAGGGGACACACCACTAGTCTATGCATATATCAGCAGGAGCTTGCTTCCGGTGTGTTTACCTCTGAAAGAGCAGGACATCTATGGAGATCTAAATCAGGGGGTTGAAGAGGGAGATGCTCCATGAACTTGTCGTGAGACTTCTTCTGGGAGGGGAGGACGGTGTGGTGTTGCAGACGGCGCTGCGGCTTCCTTGCTGTGGCTTCTCTACGTTTCCTCCTCCTCTGGTTCTTTGCTGTGTTTGCTGCCCTCGAACGAACGGGGGAGGGAACGCGGATCTCCTTAAATAATGGGATACGACACGACCAGACAACACGTGTCGATTGTTTATTCTCAAGGTGGGACTCGGGAACACACTGCGGCCCTCTTCCACCGGCTCCATTTCATCGGGACATCATACGATTGGGCGAAGGGCCACCGACTCATGTACGTGCTCACCCTCTCTCGACGGATGGACGGTTGACGGGGACTTGGACTTCGTATGACTCGCCTCGTTTGCGTGTCATGCTTGCAGAACCTCCGCAGCCACCGAAGACGCAATCGCTGACACTTAATTCTGGAGATATATGTGAAATCTGATCTTTTGATCCACGCTCGTCTGAGTGCAAAGGCTGCGGCTGATTCCAAGCCATTTTACCTTGCTTTGCGCATCATCTCAGCTTTCACCACAACGTAAAGCAACAAACAAAGAAGAAGATACAACTTTCTCTGTTTTTAGTCCTGCCACCTCCCCCATCTTTTTCTTATTCCATCAGCAGCATTGTTGTTCTTTCCCCGTGCTTCCAAAGGTTTCACTTTGTTCGACCTCCAGAAAAGTGCAAGGATGCCGGGGTTGGTGCTCTGTTACCCGAGTTTTGTTGGAATCCTTGGCACCCCTTCACCCACCCTTTATTCCTTGGGCCTCGAGTGCTTCCTTTGCCGCGGGGGCCCCTTCCACTCCCTCCTGCGTTTTGTTCCTTCTCCAACTTATCTCCACGTTCCCGTTTTCTCTGACGTCGCTTTAGTTCTCGAAGGGTCTCGTGACTCGGATCACAGGCGCTCACCGAGCTTCGTCTCCCCGAGCGTCAATCTTCCTCCTCTGGTGTGGTGCTATGAAACACGTAAAGGTACAATTGAGTCCTTTGTTTTGTTTATGGTGACACGGAATGAACTTTTCGAAGGAGACACAAAGAACATGAGGACAGATGAAATTAAACAAAAAAAAGATAATATCAAACCTAACAATGTTCTTCTTACGGTAGCTTTTCATCAATAGAAAACTAGTATGTTACGTCCGATGAGATAACATAATATAGCAGATCATTGATATAGATCGTAGAATCTGATGCCTTCTCCTGAAATGTATGTGCCGACATATAAATAGTCCAACCCACTTTGGAGAGAGACTTACATGTGCCCAAGTTGATCATAAATTTATCCCCCCCGCAGAGAGAATAAACGAGTGAGAGAGCGAGTAGAGTGGCTGTCAAGTATCACCAGAGCAAAGAGACAGTGAGGAGTAATGTGTATGCAATCAGATCGATGGTGGTAAATGGTGGAATCGATGGGCAACAAGCACATATAATAGGACATGTATGCGTGCAATGCCCCATTGTATAATCATTCTTTTGGGTCCCTTATTCAGCAGGTGTCATCGAGCCCCAAGGGGCTGGGCAGAGCACAAGGTGACGGACGCACCATCTCACTCTCCCACAGTGGTGCAGCAGTGCACAATGATGGGACTGGGACCTCTACCAAAAGAGGTGAAGGGGAATCGACACGCATTTGCATTGCGGCAGGAATTAACAGCTAGTACGCCATGATCGATGCCTTCCGTTGGCTCCTTCCTTGCATGCCTGCGCACCACCATTCTGATGCTTCTCCGTGGCCTACTCCGGTCTCATCTTGTTCTCTTCTTCTGCAGCTACTTCGGCCGGCTTCAACGCGTCTAGGTTTAGCTCGGCCACCGATCTTGAAGCTTTTGAGTTTGGGATCGACAGGCTCTGCCACCATTGCTGTTCTTAATGCGTATTAACCGGATCTTCCCAGTTAAGGTGAGTTCTCGCTGTAGTTCGTGTATCTTGCTTTCTCTCTTTAAATATAAGCTAAGTAAACAAAGAAGAATCAAATCCTGGAATTGGCTCAAAGTCCTGCAAATGATTGATGAACTCTTATCGATGATCACGGTGAATAATTCTGGAATTAACTTCCTTCAAGCTGGTCTCTGGCGGTCGGCTCTTCTTCGATTGCCAACCAAGCGCTGCATACGTTATACGATGCGGTGGCTAACCATGGAGTAGCTTGTGGAGACTCAGAACACTAACTTAGCCCATGAGCCAAGTCCAACGCCCTGTATACATTGGTGGGCTGTGGCGTATCGTAAGACGACAGACTTGTGGAGACTGGAGGTGAGCAATCAATCTATAGACTACGGAGATTGAAGCTAAAGGAGACGGCAGTCTATAACAAATTATGGCGCAATTTCCAGGACTTAAATTACCTGTCTACTTACCATCAAATCAAATCTCAATCAACAACTTCTCCATCCATGGATCGTAGAAGAACCACTATAGATTGTCTTTTACCGCCATGATCTCTTCCACCGAACATGTTTCTTTGTTGCGCCTTCCAATACGTGGAAAACTATGGAAGATGTCCATCCCATATGAACCGGGAGAAGCCCAGACAATAAAATGTACAGTAAATACAGAATCAACTGGAGCCCGATATTGCCGTCTCCTGTTGCCCCTTGACATTATTATCGTCCTCGCATTGTCAACACGACGTCCATCTTTTCTTGCTCCCACGACTGTATCTATGATGTTGACAAAGAGATGCCCACACTCTCATCGTTGGCATGGCGACGGCCCACCGTAGACTGCAGCAACTCCACTCTTTGCCAGCCAAATAACAAGGATAACTTTATATTTACTTTTTACGACATTAACTGTGCTCGGTTGATCTTTTTTAACTTCTCTTACGAGGGAGGATTCATCAGAATCTGCTCGTGCTATGGCTCTTATTCTGATCGAATCTGTCATGTCCCTACTTGGAGTATGCGAAGTAGAAAGCGTTTGCGGGGGCAATGGCGAGCTAGCCAGTGGACAATTCATCGAACATAATTAACGCATGGCCAAAAAGAGATCCACGTGAACTAGTTGAGCCCATCGATTTAGCTGCCTGCCTAATCGACATCCGGGTCTCACATTATTAGATTTAATGTCTCAAGGGAATCTTAATCGGGTTGCTGTCACGGAGCACCCATGCTCCAGTTCAATAATCTAAATGCTACCATTGGTTGGAGAAGTAACTACGACTGAGATGATCTTGCGCTTGATTTCTGCTGAGTTTGATTTAATTAGTCCTGCTAACGACTGTTCCATTCCTCTGAAATCTAACGCAGTTCATCCAAAGCGGCAGGGCAATATTTTAGACAGCAGTGATAGATAGCACTGAGAAGCCTTTGGAGTTAGAAGATTACAGAGGATCTCCGTTGTTGAAGGTAGGTAGCTAAATGTTTGGAAGATGCTGGCCATCTTTGACGGCTACCTCCGGCCTCGGTACCATCCCACATGATCGACGCCCCCAAGCGGGTGCTCGAAGAGGACACATGAGTCGGTACGAAGTGGTAAGGGTCAAGTGGGATTTGGAGCATTCCTTGTCTTCGTTCCTCCGATGCTGAGAACAATAGATATGGGAAGATGCTGGTGCTCGATCATGCGGCCACATCATGACATGTTTGGGGGATTATCGAGCTAGGCTGTTTCCAAGGAGGGAAGGACGGTGAGATCCAGACATGACAAGACAACTGCATTCGTTTTTGGGTAAAGCTGCATGCTCACCAAAGAGTCGATTGATTCCAGCACGTGATTCTTTATATCCTCTTGCTAGAGTGGACCATCCATCCACGTGAATGATTGACAGAATACTCCACTGGTTGAGCAAAAAAATAACATCTTCAGCAGGAGGTGAATGATTGACAATATACTTCACTGATCGAGAAAAATAGCATCTTTAAGATCCTACAATTCATTTGATTTAGACCTGAATCTTATTATATAGAGGAGGAAGAGAGTGTCAGATATATTTTTTAATTAAAAAATTATTATATGAAATGATGTTCATGATGTTCATATACTTTAGCTTATGTCATTTTCTAGATATATTTTTACAGCCTGAGTAACTCTAAACTTGAGGACTGAGAGATGGATATGACCACCAAGATCTATATATACATATATATATGGTTTCAGAAAGGATTATTCCAAGAAGATTGAGCACGGTTGGATCCAATATTGCTGGGATATGTAGTAGTGGGTGAGGTAGCAAGTGCACTAATTATTTATATCTTCGCTTTCCATAGATTATTGAGAAATAGGAATCTCGTGCTCAATAATTGGCGATATAGTATTCACTGGAGGCGTCGAAACGTACAAACGGATGCAGCAAGGTCGTAGCTTGCGAGCGATTCGAGCTGTTCCGCGATTCAGCGAATCGTGAACGTGCGGGAACTGGATTGGGTGATACACTATGGGATTCCGAAAGATTTGATGGAACTCAGTTAGATCATTGTGCGGTCGGTACAGATCTTCTCATCATAATTAAGATTTTTCTTGTTTTCCTGAAAGAATAAGCTCCCCGCTTGTTTCCCGAAAGATTTGTGTTTTTTTTACGGTCTCCTCTGAACCTAAAATGATTCGAATGCGTTTCCTCATGAAATGCCCACATCACAATTGATACTGTACTTCAAACATACGAATTCTGGTTCTTCAGTTTTCACCCTTTGATTCTGTTCTCGACATTATCAAGAACTTGTACATCATTAAGATCGATGTGTCGGAGTCACTATGAAGAGTTACATGCACCTGAATCGCTAGTAATCTTCTTACGCATGCCACGCACGGTCGGTACTGCCAACGGAAAAGGTCATACAGTCACAGAGGGATCGACGGAAACACCAATTATCTATTGGCCATAAATATTTCAGCTATCAATGAAAACTATTCGTAGCCGTATATGACGTTGGTGGCAGAGCAGAGCAAAGCAGAGCAGGCAACAGGAGGAGGTGGTGGATGGCAGCAACGATCTCTTGTTTGCTGTCTTTATTAGCTGTTGCTGATGACTCACAAACAAACGACGATTTGCTGAGTTTTTAGTTTGTAATAATACAGAGCTAAAAGAAGTTTTTGAGGGTGTTGGCATCCACTAGAATCGAGCTTCAGTGTGATTTGTTTGGGGGGGGGGGGAATAACAGTGTTGCTA